GGCTGCCTGGGGATCGCTGGGCAGGCTGGAAACCCTCAGCTGGGAGCTGCGGGACCGGTGTGGTGGGCTGGAGTCCCTTTGGGCGTGGTGGGCTGCCCAGCCGGCGGGGTCGACGGGGACGTATCTGCCTGCCTGTTCCTTGGTGCTGACGTCCCTCTCCACCTCCCTGGTGGCTTTCTGTCCCCAGATGAAATACATTCAGGACTTCCAGCGAGAGAAGCAGGAGTTTGAGAGGAACCTGGCGAGGTTCAGGTGAGCGGGCAGCCCCCTGTGTCCCCCCAGGTCCCTCCACGCAGACCCAGGGTCCCCTCGGGCGTGTAGCTCATGGAGGAAGCTCTGATGGGTGCTGTGGCTTGAAGGCAGAAAGGGGGGGGAGGCTGAAAATAAAAGAGCGAGGAGAAGGTGTCTGAGAGCATCCCCCTGTCTGGGAGGCTCGGCAAGGGGGAGAGAGCAGAGGACCAGCCCCGCCGCGTTGGAGGGGATGCTCGTGGCTGATGCTCCCCTGGGACGGACGGGCTCAAATCTCTCCTAAAACCCTCCCAGTCTGTTTGGTGACCCCCTGCCCCCCAGTATCTGAGCCCGTGGAGGCTCAGCCCTGCAGCGACAGTTACCCCTTAGCGGGGAGGTTTAGGGGATGCTCATAGCTGATGCTCCCCTGGGAGGGACAGTCTCAAATCTCTCCTAAAACCCTCCCAGTCTTTTTGGGGACCAACCCCCCGGTATCTGAGCCCGTGGAGGCTCAGCTCTGCAGCGACAGTTATCCCTTAGCGGGGAGGTTTAGGGGCTGCTCTCCCTCCACCTGCAACCTCCGTAACGCTGTCCCTTCCCCACCTCCCTGCCGGGTAAAGGGAAGATCACCCGGACCTCATCCAGAACGCCAAGAAATCTGACGTCCCCGAAAAACCCAAGACCCCCCAGCAGCTGTGGTACAACCACGAGAAGAAGATCTACTTGAAAGTGCGTCCAGATGTGAGTACGGTGGGTGGGAGTGCGTGTGAGCGTGAGTGTCGAGGGGTCCTGTACCCCGCTGCTGGGGGGTGAGGAGGGGGAAAAGAGAGAAGCATTTTAGGGGGGGGGAAACGGGATGGAAGACACCGCTAGAAGCTCCCAGCAGTCCGGACGGAGGTAAGAAGGGGCTCTGCACATCTGGAAGAGACTCAGGGGTACAGACCCCGCTTTTTGCCCACAGTTGAAGGGGTGACCACAGCCTGAGTCAGGGCAGGAAAGGTTTCCAGCGCAGACACCCAGCCCTGCCCATGCCCCACACTCGCACACACCCCCTTCCCCGGCCACTCTTCTGCCAAAGCCCATGGCGTTACGCGTTGACGAAAAAAGTGTTTTTTATTATTTTTTTTTTTTTCTTTTTTCCCCTTCTTCTTTTTTTGGGTTTTACCCATCTGCCCTCACCTCTGGCTTTGGGTTTTCAGGCCACCACGAAGGAGGTGAAAGAGTCGCTGGGCAAGCAGTGGTCTCAACTCTCGGATAAAAAGAGGCTGAAATGGATTCATAAGGCCCTGGAACAGCGGAAGGAGTACGAGGTAGGGAGCAGCCTCGCCCGTCCCCCTCCACACTCGTCCCTACGTTCACTCCGAGCCACTCTGCCTCCCGGCCGCTAGCCACCGGCAGCCAGACCG